GAAAGCAATACCAGGACATGTCATACCTCATCATGAAGATTACCTTGGGCTCATTATCACTTTTTCTCCTAACTGAACTTCAAAGATCAGTATAAGATGGCTGCTCATATTAAAGGAGTTCTGTTAAAGGCAATTGTGCCTCATATTTTCTACTGCTATTTAAAGAAAATTCTTTAAATCAATTACCTAAAAAGACCAAGGGATAAAAACAGAACGGAGGAAGACATATATTCTAAACTGTCAGATACCCTCCCCATCCCATGCTTTCTTTAACACAGGAAGATTTTTTTTCTCTTCTGTTATAAACTGTTCCCTCATATGATGATTTAATTTTACGACAAGCTAAAGCTGGATTTTCATTGAAAACAAAACACTTAAAAAACCCAACCCAGTAAGAAACCCAAGAAACTGAAGATGTTTTATTGATGTGTGTGCATGATGATATTGTGACTTAAAACAGCTGTCAGAAAAGCAGAAACAATAAGAGATGCTAATGTGAAGGGCTGAAACAATGACAGCACATTTGCCCGCATGCTTCCTGAGCTGGTATAGTGCAGGAAAGCAGTTGCTTGGAAAGTTGTCATTATTTCCTCTTGTGTTGATCAGAACAGATTTATAAATACAGATGTTTCTGTCAAGAGGAGCTGTTGGTTTGTGGCAGCATAACCCTTGTTTTTCCAATGACCATGGAAATACAGAGGAAATTGTCTCCTGGCTGCTTTAAAGTGACAGTTTTTAGCAAAAATATTCAGAATTAATTTCAATGTACTATGCAGTTAAATATTAGATTAAGAGCTAATCTTTCATTTCTAGTTGCTTCTGCTTTGCCAAGACTTTCTCAATTCACCACTGACCCAATTTTTAAAAGTAAAAATATTGTGACACAACCATGATCCCAAGCCTTGGCAGAGTGAGGTTCATGTTTGGACTTGATGATCCTAGAGGTCTTTTCCAACCTAAACGAGTCCACGATTCTGTGACGTGCTCACTTTATCCCCTAAGGATGTTTTCAAACCACAGATGTGAAGAAGGAAAATTGCCCAAGTAACATGAATCTGAGATTAAGTCATATGGAAAACTGATCCTCTGAAATAGGCAGGGACCTTTCTACAGCATTTAGTGGGCTTTTTCAACCCTTCCTTTCATATGTGGATGAGCAGCAGTGGGAGCACTTTAATGTGATTCATAGGCAGTGGCACGGCTGAGCCTGCTCTCTCTGCACAGCTTCACTGAATCCCTCCTGGGCCATTTCATCATCCACTCCCTACACCCATCAACTCTGTCCCCACTGGCACAGGCCAAAACTGTCTCAAATCTTTGATTACATTTACAACCCCCAATAACTAATTTAGGTCAGCACTGCTGCTGGCAGCACTATTTTAATTTGTATTCCTTTCTTCTGTTCTTTTGTGTTTTGTTTTTCTGAAGTATATGGGTTTGTCTTAATGTGATATCTTTGAGCTAACATGCATCTGAGGAAGGCAAAAGGAATTTATTGCATTTTGGCTAATACTGAGGAAAGGGGAAATTGCCTACATAATGAAACAGGAGATGCAGTTTGAACTGTCATTTCTCTCGTCTCCATAGTACTGGATACACAAATATAAAATATATGATCTACCTCCTCCTTCAAACATATCAACGTACAATTAAAACCCACAAAGCTTGACAACCTGTTGTCAGGTTGTTTAAGCAGTTGTTTCAGAATCTGACAGACAAACTTATAAACAAAACGTAGAGCACCAGATCGTGGGATGAGGCAGCATCATCACGTGGCTTCCTCAGTTATCTCAAAATTTGGAAAACAAAAAAAGCAGAGGAATACTTTTTCTCCTTGAATAAATAACAGTTTAATTACATTATAGAAATAAAATATGATATGGTAGGAATACACTGGAAATCTTACAGAAATACTATTCTGCTACTGGTAAGTAAATGGTCAAAGCTACTCTTCATGACAATCTGAACAGTACTTGTGTACAAACTATTATACAGGTCGCTAATGAAAAATATTGCAACATTTGCAAGAATGTTACCAGCTCAAACAAACATCTAATGATACAATATTCTTCTAGGAGGAAGTAATAATGTTAGATTTACAGACAATAAAGAGTTATGTTCTCCACTTTGAAACACTGGAAATAAAAATCTCAGGTAATCTGATTTCTTTACCTCATATAATCACAAGGAAAAATTTTCCTTTCACTGTGAAACAGCATCCCAAAAGACCCTGTAAACAGTTTATTCAAAGGTAGTATTTGAGATGTCACAGCAACTTCAACGATGTTCCTAGCCCACAATTACAGACTTTTTAGGCCACTGCTTGTACAGATGACTTTTTTTTTTTTAATCACTTATTTACATACATTCAGCCCAATAACAGCAGGTAGAACGCGCTGTCTATCTCACAACAGACACACTAAAATTTTCATCAAAAGGCCAGTGCAAGATGTGGATAGTGATTGCACAGCACTGAGGAGATTGTATCATACAAATATACAATTAGACTGTCGAGAATCTAACTCTGCACACATGTGACACAGATGGTCTTCTCAGTAGATATGTGACACTTGGAGTCGGTACATACACATGTAACTGCAGCTAGAGGTGGTGGGTGGTGGATGATGATGATGATGATGATGATGATGATGATGATGATGATGATGATGGTGTGGGTGGCTGTGGAACACAGTGTCGTTTGGCTGTGCTATCACTAAGTGAAGGTAGCCAACTGCAAATTAGGAATACCTAAAGCTGAAGTGTAAGTACAGATTACCTTGGAACGGCAACAGATTTTTGTAATGAAAGAACAGTTCTACTTAGTGTGCAACATGTAAGGAAACTGTTGCCAACTCTTTAATAAATGGTTCTAAGTGAACCAATGAAGTTCCCAGAGCTTTAGAAAAACTTATTATGCAAATGAAGATACTGATGATAGACGATAACATTTCACAGAATGCTATTTCTTATTATATCAGTAAGCACCAAGTTAAGTGCCAAGACAGCCCCATTGTCCCATGATTTATCATAAAATTTAGAACTTGAATGCACAACAAAATTCCACAAAGTTTGCATTTAATTCACAAGAAAACAGTTTCAAAAATGGCTCTTAAAATACCCTTAACATTTCAAATGGGCTTTCCCCCACTCCTCTAAGAGGACTGCTTTAGGATGGACTAGGCCTAGACGTAAGAAAGAATCTTTCAGGAGGACTTGACATCCTCTGGGAATCCTCTGCAATCCACTGGTTTTGGCTGACTGCAGCGGGCCCCCTGAGAGCGTGGTGCCCTGCACCATCACACAGATAAGCTGTAGGGGAGGTGGATGGACAAGGAAAGTACCCCTGTCTCTTCCAGCTGTTGCTCAGCATCTCACCTGGTCCAATCTTATCTTTAAAACATGCCATCCCTCACCAAGCCTAAACTTGGAGCCATGTCCACCCCCACAGAGCCACTGGCTGGAAGGAGCTGGGTGTTTGTTCAGCCAGCTGCTCTGGCCTGCACTAAGGGAGCCAGAGACCTGGAGCTATCACCCCCTCTCTCTCCCTACTGAAGCACAAGGATGGGCGGCAGGGCAGTCTGGCTTTGGCTCCACTTGCCCTGTGTCACAGAGAAAGTCACCCCTGCTTCATTAAGTGCCAGGCAGCTAAAGGACTAAGCTGTGTTTTCAACTATTTTGGTAGAAATCAGACAGCAGGGTGAGGAAACAGTCTAAAAAACCATGGCAGCAGTGTAGAGGATCCCAGACCTTATGACTCAGAAGAGAATCACAGAATACCCATGCCGCAAAGACTATCTGGTAGCATGTTCCTTGTGACAGTCACAGGCTGCAGAAACTGTCCCACCATGGAACAGAGTCACTATTTTCCTTCAGTAACTTCTTCCTGGTAGTGTCAAACCTTGTCAGTGGTTTCAGAGAGATGCACCTCAATGCAAGCGATCAGATTTGAATACTCACAACATTAAAACAAACTACAGTTTACTCCTGGCTTCCTCAATCTTCAGGCCCACCATCAACACCTGCAGCATTTGTCAATGTGGGCTCATTCCATGCTCTCTATCTCTCCTTTCCCTTTATTCTCAAGTGCAACTGAATGGTTGCTTCCTCTAGCACATGGATACACACTTCAGCGTGGATCAAGATGTTCTTAATATGGTACTTTCACCAGTAATCAATTGGAAGAACTCAATTTTAGAAACAGAATTCGTGTGCAAAGCGTGCAACAAGAAATACAGTTACATTTGGTCGTAGTGTCCTATCTTAGCTATGCTACCATGACTCACACTGGTTAGAATACTTACACACACACACACACACACACGTACACACACAGAGATATTTATTTATATACACGCTCACACAATAAGAAAATGTCTAAGTCTGACAATATTTCCTCCTCTATTAGCGAAGACAAGAGTTTGGCATCTCAGGCTCTGAATCTGTTTAGACCTGGGATACAGGAATGTGACACACTTCAAGTATACATTGACTGCACAGTGGTAACATCGTACACTGAGTCTGACACAGGCTGTCTTCAGTGGTCCAACACCAGCACATGGCTTAAAACAGATGCCCATTAAAGGAGCCAAATATCCAGGACCTTTGCTTTTCAGTACTCATATTCAGGCAATGCCCAAGAGCAGGGCAGTGGTCTGTGCAACCAAAAATAATCCTTCTGTATAAACGCAGTGGTATTTAAAAGTCTGAACCAGTGCATTCCTTTCCCACATTCCTCCTCTATTCCTCTGTTGCTGTTAAGTCTTATATGCATATGAAAGTAAAAGGTAGTGGGGAAATAATTTTAGTAGAAGAACACAAAGCCTCTCCTCTAAGTCCACAGAAGACCACTAAAAGTGTAAAATTTCCAAAATGTCTCATAGGAATTCTTCAAACACAGTAAGTGTTTTCAATGGGGTTTACATATCACGTTTCACGTTATTTCCACGGAATTCTACCTTATCACTTTGTTTAATCAGACAAATATCAATAACACATAATAAAACAGCACACAATTCACGGGACACGACACGTTTTACAAAACCTCTAAACTCAGCACTGCTGCTTTTGGAAAAATTCAAAAACTCCTATTACTTACAGACATGAAATACATTTCACATTGAAATGAACAGCATGATTACAAGGCTTTTTTTCTTATTTGATGGCATTGGTTTAGGACGTATTATTTTTCAATTAGGTTTCACAATTCTTCTTCACACCCCCAAAGGAACGATTGCTAATCTGGTATTTTCTCTGTCCTCTTTCAGGAAACAGTATTATTCAGTAAACAGCTTTTGAGAAAAACTTGTGAAAATTTAGCTAGAATCCCTAATTGTAAAACCTGAAGAACTGGCTGATGGTAATGCTCTTAACACAATCATTGCTCAGTTTACAATGACAAACCAAAAAATATTACAGGAAGGTACAAACACATTAAGCCATGGGTTTGGTTTTCTTGTTGATTTTTAAATTTTTTTTTTAAACTTAAACTCCTTTTTCAAACACTGAGAAGTCTCTGACTTACAACGCTTCAGCTGTTGTGTCTGTGGAGACAGACATGGTAACTTTGGCAATCTTAACTGTGCTCTTAATGCAGCTCTCGGCAGCCCTGTGCACGTTCCCTGCGTTGTTGGCGTGTTTGTGCTGGCAGTCAGACTCCATGCTGTTATCCAGGGGCTGCGCAGTCCCTTCGCAGGTGGGGAACATGCTGCGGAAGGCGTGTCGCAAGTCCTTGCTCCTCAGAGCGTAGATGATGGGATTCACTGTTGAATTCAGCAAACAGAGCATGCTACAGAAGGCAAAGATAGTCTTGATGAGCTTGTTCATTTTCCCAAAGACATCGTACACCATGATGGCAAGGAGAGGGCCCCAGCATATGATTAGAACAACTAGGATAAGGACCAAGGTTTTGGCTAACCTGATGTCCATACGAGTTTGATCGGGTCTAGTGATCTGTACCTTACCATCCTCCGTTGACTGAATGATTATGCTTTTCTGCGTGCCTCGCTGCAACATGCGAACGGCGTGGCTGTGAGCCTTCCACAGAATGTACATGTAGGCATAGACAATGAACAACAAGAGGATGCTGGTGACCCCGATCCAGAACATCAGGTACGTCTCATCGATGAGAGGGAATATGTCCGAACAAACAGAGTTGAGCTTTTTGCAGTTCCAGCCAAGCAGAGGAAGAACGGCTATTACGATAGCGATGGTCCACATCACACAAAATGCTACGACAGCCTTTGGTCGGGTAACAATCCTTTTATAAGCTAGCGGCCTGTGTATAGAGATGTACCGGTCTATTGCCGTGAGGAAAAGGCTACCTACAGAGGCGGTGAAGGAGGCTGTAACTCCACCCAGTTTGAACAAGAAGACATTGGGGCTATCCTTCCGGTGGAAAACATGGAAATCCACAAAACTGTAGACAAAAATCACACTGCCCAGGAGGTCGGCCACAGCTAGGCTGCCGATGAAGTGGTAGGAGGGTCTACACCGGAGGCTTCGGGAGTGGAGGATAACGCACAGGACGAGGAGGTTCTCTAGGACTGTGAAAGTGCCCAGGGTGAGCGACAGCACAGCGATGGCCAGCTGCTGGCTGGGGTTCAGGATCATAAAACACTCCATATCCATAAAGTTCTCCCCGCACTGTATATTCTCCTCATTATCCTTAAAAGTGGACAGGGACTTGTTGTAAAACTCTGTGATGTTGACCTGCTCTGAGGGAATAATGCTCAACAGGGAATCATCTCCTCCAGTCATTTTTTCTTGGAAAGGATCACCCCTGAAGGAAGAAAGAGGGAACTTCTGGGGGTAGTACCCCAGCTTGGATGCCATGTCGCCTTTCATGTCTTCGTACTGGATATCGTTGGAGCCCACGTAAAGGAGATCTGTCGTGATTGTTCGGAAAGTTGTATCTGCGAGGCCATCTAGAATTGACTTCATAACCCCAGTCTTGTTGGTTTCAGAGATACTCGGAGGATGGAAAAATGCATCGGAGGAAGTCCTGTATGGGGAAAACATCAGACTTCATTAACATAAACAGGGAGACAAACTCCTCGGACAACTTAGCTGAACTGCGCCAAACAAAAAAAATCAACCTTTCTCTGGTATTCAGTGCAATTCTAACTTTGCCACTGTAGGAAATCAGGGTGTGTTGAGCACTTAGAGAGAAATCAACTGGATTTCACTAAAACTGAATTACACTAAGAAGCAACGTGAGAAACAGAGACACGGGGAATTGTTTCACAGGAAAGAAATTTTCATTTATCATCAAAACTTTATGAGCTGCTCCACCAGAAAGATATTTTTCTCAGCTTCTGATTGCAAAGCACCTTGCAGACCAATATTCCTTGGGCTTGCTTCATTTAGATAATACCAAGTGCCACTGTGGGAGTAGCACTAAACTGAGTCACCACCTTCTTGGAGGGTTTTGAAAAATTATCAACAGAAAGGCAACAGGGACAGAGCCATACACTCACAGTTCACCCAGTATGCCTCTAGATTCTTATTTTCCGGCTATGGCAATCTGAGATCTATTAACATCCTGAATTTGCTACTGCAAATTTATTAGCAAGGTATTTGATCAATAAATATATAGATTCATTACACTCACAGACAAAGATTATTCCTTCCTTCTCCTAAGCAAACTAAGATACTGGGATGTTTGAGTAATATAAGTGAGGTGGATTATGCAGCTGTTACCCATCTCTCAGTTTTAGGCAAGGTGACCAGCTATGCTACATCAGTGAGAGAATCAGTGATCTGCTCTGTACACACCAGAAGCCTCAGTCAGGGCAGTTCAAGTTTGCATAGATAAACATGGCACCAAATTTAAGCAGTGGCCAAAATTCCAGGCAAAAGGAACCAGGAGCTACTGCTTCTGTGAGAAGCATGGTGATGTAACTTGTACCCCTGGGGACACCCTCAAAAACATTGTCCCCTCCAAAACTGGGGGGACCCAGCAGAAGGTCCCCAAGTAGCCAGCAGTCTCTGAGATCTGTCAAGTACAGCCTCTGCTCACGGTGCTCATGGATGGGGACTTGTTGTGGGGAACAACTAGTCAGGGTTCCCTTGGGAGAGGACCCCATCAGCACGTGAGCATGCATCAAAATATAAGACAAGTCTTACAGATCTTGGTATGCTGTACTCCTTTATATTACTTTGCCAATAGAAAATGCTTTGAATATGGATTGAACATCTGCTTTAGGGCCCTCTTCCACCACCTCAATGGATAAGAGTGATCTGAATACAAATAAGAGCCAGAATCACTCATTTTGTGGGCTACAAATATTCCACATCTGCTATGGGACATCCCAATGATTAATCAGCAACAGAAGCAAACCAAGCTTCTTCTTGTTTTTAGTATAGAAGAAATCGATGCACTCAAGAAATCGTAGATGCCAGTACATAGGCTTGTACTGACTTAACCTGTTCACTTTACACAACTGACAATAAATGGCCAGAAAGGCTACAAGAGTTCATCTGACAAAAGCAGAGTACTGATCACTTCAACTCCTAAAGAGAAGACATGCACAGTAGGTACCACTGTTCTCTTTTCCCATGAAAACTATAGGAAAGAAGAAAAGAATGCCTGTCTACAACAATAGCAGTTCTCAAAAATGCTCATGAAATCACGAGCATTTCCAAAGAAGCAGAGATCACTTGGCTGATGATGTATTTATACTGTCCTTATAGCATGTGAACACCCAAGACTTTTTCCATAGCTCTTTAAAGTTTTGCCTCTTATTAAGCAGGCCTGGACATTGAGTATTAAAGGGAATATATGAACTTAGACCTTCAGAAGACACTGCAACTCCAATTCTGCAAAAAAGTATGAGTGCACACAACCCTTACCGGGATGGTCGCAACACACAAAATATACTGGCTGAGTCAGCTTTTGCAGACAGTTTGCTCAGCAAATAATTATTAGACAGACAGACAGTATTAAGGAATTTAATTTTGAGGGCGTGAGCAGTGAGGGAAGGAAATGTCACTGAGTGACATTAAAAATGAACAGCAATCATCTAATATGGAAGGCACTTTTCTGTTTTATAGCTGTTCCTAGAGAATTTGCAGATGTTACATACTGCAAAGATGACTCTGCTGATAAATCTGCTTTGGGCGAAGTCTGGCAACTTTAAGCTTGGCATTGTAACACCATTTTACAACCAGAAGTGAAAAATGTGTTATTAATTTGAAAACTACCCGGAAATATTAAATAAAAAAGTAGTTCTATAAATATGTAAAAATTGCTGTGGTATCCTCTGCTATTCAAGCTTATTTTCGACAGAAGAGAACCACTTTAATGAGTAAAGCCACAGCCCCATGTCGAGAAGATTATGTCTGAGGAAAGCTTCATAAGTTGCATTCAACTGAGCACTTGTGCTAGGCAGACAAACAAATTGTTATGAGGTAGCTCATCCCTGCTGGAGTCATGTCAGGTACAGACTTTCTCAGAATTAGGTGCCATGCAACCCCTACTTTTATTTGAAATACAAATGAAAGAACATGAATCCTTGTGTGCTCTTTTGAAGGTGGCAGCGAGTTATGTGACAGTATCACTATGCATGCATATGCTATGCTAACATTGTTAATGGGATCAAGAGAGGCGAGTCTTACTTTGAATGCCAATGATTTTTTTTTCCTCTGTATTTTTACATTGAGATTATTACAGTAATTTTCACCTTATTGTCTCTGCAAAGAGAGTTTTCTTTGAGAGTACTTGGAAGTTCATTAGTAGTGTAGTTTAGGCTTTGGGGGATGCTGCTAACATTAATTTTGGTTTTGTTTGCTGCTGGGAATATCCTAATTGGAAATTTCTAGCAGTATGTGTGCATGCACCTATTCAAGCTGCAGTTGATTTTTATTAAAGTTGCAGTAAAACAACCATTTGCCTGATCTGGAATTACACTTTACAGGAAATTCATTTATTTTAATTTAGATACTAGCTTATCCCGGTACAAGCTCGCTACTAAAATGCACTGAAGAGATCAGCGTGGTTTTCCATAGCTGTCTGGTGAAAACAAGACTGGATCTTTGGCACTGCAGATATCAGGTCACAGGTGCTGCACAATTTGAAAGAAAAGATAGTGAAAGACGCAATGGCAGTGCCACACACATTTTGGCTCTGAGCATTCTGTACAAATCTGGAGTGGCGAGCAGGCAGCACCCATGAAAACAGACATCCCACACCATGCAGCCACACTGCTCTTTGCAGCTGCCCTCAACACAATCCAAACCTAACCTGTCCAAGAGCCATGACCATCTCCACATGAAATACTCCAGGAGCCCCTCTGGCTTCTCAGAGCTTCCACAGGGAAGAAGTGTCCTCCAGACAGGTTCATCCTCTCTCCCTGGGGCTGGAGTGACAGCTGTATGCTGCAGAAAGCTCCCCTCATGTGCAGAGTGGCAGTAAGGGAGAGCCTCCCTGCTCTGCCAAGAACTCTCCTGCCCTGCCAGGATACACTCTTCCAACTTCTTTGAGTTTTTAAAGCTCTCAGCTCAACTGCCTCATTCATTTTTAAAACAGCTTTTAAAAGACTGAAACATTGATTAAATGTGAAGGAGAGGCTGCACCGATACTGGCACTCAACATTTTTTGCATATTTCCACAACTGCATGCAGCAATTCACAGTAAGTACTGAATTATGATTGCGGATAAGAATGAAACAACAGAGAAGAACTTCAAGGATCTTTTATCTGAAGACCAGACCAGAACAGTCATAGCTGAGCACCATTTTAGACCTTTCTGCCATCATCCAGCAGCTGTGGATGGGCACTGCCAGACCAGCTGTGCGAAGTGACTGCCACTAGATGGAGTGGCTTTGACAAACTCCGGTCTTAGCTGTCTGCAGCGACATGCGTTCAACTTCCCTCGGCCCTTTTCCCCCGCCTACTTTACCAGGAATCAAACACATGAGCTGTTAAGCATCACCTGAAGGTTGCAGATACAACTTTGTATGGCTCTGCCTTCAAAGTGAAAGAATTAGTGAAGAGTTGAGGGGGCAAACCTTACTAGTGCCCTCCACTGTGTGGTTACATGTAGCCTTAAAAGATGCTGGTAACTCATCATTAAGGACAACAGGGAGAATTATACCTCCTCCAGACTTCTTGTTGGTCCACAATACCAGTTCACTTGGGGAACAAGAACATGACTTCATTAAAATGCTATTACCTATCTCCTCCTGCTGTTCTGAGGTAGAAGGATAACTGGAAAAGAGCTGAATTTGTTACAATTTTCAAAACAGCATGATTGATAAAGCGTTTTCAACAGCCTGAATAGAAGGAGTGAGTATTTATGCTCTTCCTCAGAAGTAATTACAAGCAGTACAATGATGATACTGATAGCTGCAGAAATGTTGACATTGCAAGAAAAGAAATCAAAACAAGAAAGGGAAATCCACAATCAAACCTTTTTGGATTACATTTTAGAAAGTATTTTGATCTGTCTGTCTATACATTTCTTCTATGATAATCATAGTTAATTAAGAACAGGCTAAAGGACAAGTAGGAAGAATTCAAACAATTTCTGAATGTATAAAAATATACAAATGTACTCTCCTCCCTTGTACCTTATAAGGTTCTAAGTCATTCAGAGAAGAGCATTATCTTCTGATAAGTTTGCATAGTGACCAATAACTGGGACTACTCCCAAACTGGGTCCACAAAATACTACCACAGGAGAAACAGCAGTAATTTACACTCATATGCAGTCAGCTGTAAAACTGTGAGAGAAATGAGATCTACCATGGTAACTGTTGGAGTCTAGAATTAGAACTGTCCTATAAAGTGAAAATTTATATAGCTAATAATTACCTTATCCCATATGGTGATGGACAATACAGCTTCGAGGACAAGGTTTCCAAGCCTTGGAGAAAGAAATGTGCAGACTGAGAAATGGCACTCTCAGACTAAGTAACACCAAGTAAGGAAAAACACATGTTGAGAAGAATGTGAAGGCAATGTTACCACTATCCTATTTACTGGTTTACTACTCCATCTCCA